TTTATAGAGCTGTGATTTTACTGTACAGTTTGTTTTTATGTTCCCCTCCTTCGCGGCTGTAAATTATCGTGGTTTGAAATTGTACAGTATCACAATTCTTGTATTTTTGCTGCAGAGAATCAGAGGATACGTTGGTGTGAAACTGTGATGTACTTTACTTTCATTGGAAAAGAGGACAGAGGAACCCGACAGTTCTAGTCCATCTCCCGGATTCGTCTGAATGTGGTGGTTTTTGAAGCTGTGACTCCGCCTCATTCCACTCTGTCTGGATCTCTGTCAGATTCTGGATCTTCTCTGTTTGATAATCTGCTGAAGCCCACGGTCATCTCTTTTGCTGGTGCATCTTCTCCTGCCACATTTTGTCCTTCCACTAGACTTTCCATTGATGTGATTGGACACAGCACTCTGTGAACAGCCAGCCTCCTTAGCTATGAACTTTTGTGGCTTACCCATCCTATGGAGGGTATCAATGACGGTCTTATGGACAGTTGTTCTGTCTGCAGTCTTCCACATATTGAACCGAACTGAAATAATTTAATGACACCTGGGAAACCTGTGCAGGTGCTTTGAGTTTAGTAGATGATTAGTGTCACACTCAGTTTAAAGCATTCATGTCCTGCAACATTTGGGCTGATTTCTCCACAGTATTTTAATTTTTTGAATTCCTGTTTTCGTGGGTTTCATGAGATGGAAGTCCCATCCATCCATCCATCCACCAATCCATCCATCCATCCATCCATCCATCCATTATCTTTACCAGCTTATTCCATTTTGGGTCACGGGGGTCGCTGGTGCCCATGTCCAGCAATCACTGTGCAAGGGGCGGGGTACACCCTGGACGGGTCGCAAGTCCATCACAGGGCCACATAGAGACAAACGAGACAAACAACCATTCACTCTCACACTCACACCTAGGGACAATTTAGAGTTACCAATCAGCCTAACATGCATGTTTTTGGTCTGTGGGAGGAAACCGGAGTATCCGGTGAAAACCCACACATGCACGGAGAGAACATGAAAACTCCACCCAGAAAGGCCCCTGGACCGGGGTTTGAACCAGGGACCTGCTCGCTGAGAGGCAGCAGCTCTACCAGTTGTGCCACCGTGCTGCCCCGAGATAGAAGCCCAAATTATGTAAAAATAAACAAATAAATACTTGAAATTGTTTAAATTGTGGGCCCTGAATCTATCAGCTATTAAATATGAACTTTTTGAATGGAATTATGGAAGTTAAACAACTTTTCCATGATATA